AGGACTTTTCATTCTGATGGCGCTGATATGTTCATTGATATAAATACTTACTTTTGAGAGATAAACTAAAGATTCTGAGTAAGTTACAGGCTTTTGCAGGTAATCCATTGTGTGGTGCTGGTTGTACGGATTGTTTTGAGAAATGCACATACTTCTTTGCAAATATTAAGGATGATTCGAGAAATGCACCAAAGCGACTGAGAAAAACTGTAATAATAGTGTTGCTTACCTTTGCATAGTTACCAAGACAGTAGATTTTTACCACTGACTGATAATGTTTGCATGCGCATGCAACTGTATGTATTCGTACACTCTGATGTCTGTTGTCCTCTATGTATGCTAGGCAGAAGATGCTGGAAATTCAAGGTATTAAAAACTATTTGTCAGTGTCAGACAACAGACATGCTCTGAGACCTGCACTGTCTGGCAGCCAGTGAGAGTCCAGATAATGTTTCCGTCAGTGACCGACCATGGAAGCATGCTGATGAAGACCTTTGAGTAGCCTACATACTTCTGTGAGTATTTGGACTTCCTCTTTTTAATCTCTCTCACTAACACATGTGAATGCCACTTCCATCAGTTTCTCTCTACTTTTTGTCTCTTTCCTCCCTCTTCTGTCTTGAACACTATATCTTTAGTAATACAGAGGCCAGATTAGCTCCTGTAGACTTTGATGGACCATAAGGTCAGCTCTTAGATCGATGTAACAAAATAAAAAAAATAAATAAAAAGAAGCGAAAAACCCCCCATGCAAACAATCTCACTCTCCTGAACAATCATTGGCTCTTTATATTTATCTGAGGGGGTCCTGATAGTGTCGGAAGCATCACAGCTTTCTCCAGCACTCATCTTTGATAGGTTCCCTTACGAAAAAGAAGTTTATTCAAGTGTGCTATTAGTATACTTCTTTTAAACTAAAAATAGGAAAGTATACTTTTAGTCTACTTTGTATGTACTTCTCAGAAATGGGCTTTATGTACTTCTCAGAAATATACTTAAAATGACATTTAAGTATACTTGACTTATATTAAAGTATACTTAAAAGTATACTTTTATATACTAAAAAGTGGGCCAATTTAATCCCAAGGAGTATTGAAATAGTACACTTACAAGTATACTTCTAGTACACTGATATTTGTATACTTACTACATAAAGTATACTTAAAAATATACTTGAACTTTACTTAAGTATACTTACTAAAATAAACTTGAAGTATACTACTTTTTGGTAAGGGTTATGACACATTTTCTCACTGTTCTCTGATCCTAGTCAAATAAGTAGATTCATCTGAGCAGCATCACAGAGAGACCGGCTGTTTCTTTGACAAATGCACCATAAATTCAGCCATGCATCAATTTTCCTGGAAATAAAAATCAATTAGAGGTCATTCTACATAAATATTTAAATTGTACGGACATAACGAGATTTTGTGCACTTATGCAAATTAATTGATTTGAAATACGTAAAATATAGATGGGGGAATACAAAGACTTAACCATCTTTTTTGTCATAATAGGCATATCTGTCTCTTACTAGAAAAGCAGCATTAGTTCATCCTTAACTTGTATGGAAGTATGTACAAATAATAATGATGAAGATTATTAAAGTGTCCCACTTTTTATAATGAAAATCAGAAAAGTAACTTTATTATAAATTAATGATTTAATATTAATCTATGGCTGCAACTAAAGATTATATTGATAATCAATTAACTTTCTTTTCACTTTCACTTTTCTTTTTCTATCCATTGATTATTTCTTTGATTAATTGAATGAAAAAAATATTAAAAATCCATTTAAAAAAACTTACTTTATATGTTGTTCTTCAAAGATGTGCTGTTTGAAAGCTATAGTGACTGAATCTGTGTACAGTAAGCTGTGCAATGCGTTGTGCAAAAATAGTTAAAACAAACATTCTAAACCAAAAAAAAAAAAAAACAACAACTGACTGCTTACATTTAAAATCACTAAATTAAAAATTATAATAAACAAAAACATTAAATGTTAACTCGTTCAAGGAACAGACACATTCACTCATCTGAAGGTAATTATGTTACGTGTCTACTCCATTCTGCTCTCATAAAAATAGTAATACTTGTTACATGTAGAATTTTAATCTTATTGTTTAACAAGAAATGTTTTAGACAAATGTGTATTTTATACAGAATTATTGTGCTTCATCTGTGTGGCGCACATGCATGGGTTGGCGTTATACCCTGAGGAAAATGGGTCTCAAATGCATTAAAGAGCACTCATATCTGTTAAAGCACATGAAATGGCAAGCCACTTTAAACTACAATATATGCTTTTGTTTGAAACGCTTGATATAAAGCTTTTTTGTGTTTAGGACAGCTTGGATTGTGCACTCTGCATCCTGTGCTGTTTTCCAGATGCGTTTTGTCTATAGAAATTTTAGAAGACTGCTTTTAAGTGACGTGACTGGCAAATGTTTTCCGTGCATATAGTGCGTAATCAGTCGATTAATAGATGTGATAAATAATTAATCAAATCTGTGTGTTGATTATTTCCATTAAAGATAATCAGTGATTTTATCAATTAGTTGTTGCAGCCCTATGTTATGTAAACATTTTTTTTTTTTTACATTTGAAAACACTTTGTGTACTTTCAGAGTATATACTTATATTTAATATATAGTATAGTATAGTATTGTATAGAATAGTATACTTTATATATATATAGCAAATGGAATGTGTGATCAGAAGACTATTCAGGGGTCTCTGGGCCATTCTGAGACCCTTTTTGTGGCCCCGGGGGACTGCAGAGACCCTGGCAGCTAAGGCCATTAGCAATTAGCATGGATATCTTATGAGGGAAAAGGTTTAGAAATGACCCTCAGAGTAGGCAAAAGGAGAAAGGGAGGGATAGGGGCTCGAGTGCTTTTTCTTGTTTCTCCTCCTGTGTGGCCGAGAGAGAGTAAGGTGATCCCAAACACACACGCATACGGTACACACACAATGACACGCGCACACACTCCCCAGGTCCCTTCACATATGCTCTTTGGCATGAAGAACTGCCCTGGGAGTCCCTGTTTCATTAGTGTAATTAACTGTGAGAGAGAGACTGGGGAGAAAAAGTGAGCGAGAGAAGGCAGGACTTTGAGATAGACGCTTCGATGTTAGATGGTTTATATTATGATACTATTTTCTTTTTGAGAAAAAAATAACAGAAGAATGTCACTGCTTTAATTTGATTTGTACTGGCACCAGCAAATAGTGCACAAAAACAATAACAAATGTTTAAAGTGAAATTTTAATAGTAAAAGATTTAATGTAAAATCACGACTGTTTGGTAAGATGTTTTTATTATTTTTGAAATAAGTCGTTTTTGTAAGTCGCTTTGGATAAAAGCGTCTGCTAAATGATTAAATGTAAATGTAAGTCTGTTTTGCTCACCATGGCTGTATGTATTTGATCAAAAGTAATGTAAAAACTCTAAAACTGTGAAATAGTATTTAAAATAACTGTTTTCTATTTTAATATATTTTAAAATGTCATTTATTTCTGTAATGGTAAAGCCTTTACTTCAGGCTTCAGTGTCACGTGATCCTTCAGAAATCATTCTAATACGCTGATTTGCTTTTTTAAAAGAAACATTTCTTATTATTATCAATGTTGAAAAGAGTTGTGCTGCTTAATATTTATGTGGAAACCTTGATGCATTTTGTACAGTATATTTTCATGAATTGAAAGTTCAAAAGAACAATTTGTGTGTCCTTGCTAAATAAAAGTAGTAATTTCTTAAAAAAAAAAAATCTTTCCTTTGGACAGTAGAGTATATTAAATTATTAAAAAAATGAACAATTAGCAATCACCTAGCAGCTACCAAGAACTAACCTTTCAGACCTTAGGCTGATGATCACGGGGTAACTTTTTGAGCAATGTTGCTGTCAACGGGCAACCAGGTGAGACACAGGGCCCATGACCGATCTAAAGTATCCAGATAGAGATTTGTTGCCCATTCTCAATAGGAAAGTGCCCAAGCAACTTTGCTCAAAAAAGTTGCCCCGTGCATCATCACCTTTACACACCTTAGCAACTAAATAGCAACACCCTGGCATCCACCCTATAGAATCGTGGTGAAAACAAGCACTTTCTTCAGAAAATGTTGAAATCTGGTTATAACTTGTGGAAAAATTCCCATTCTCTCTTCCTTCATTCTTTTTCTTGTAATTGTTCCTTCTGTTTTATTGTACCCTCTCTTCTCCAGCAGCCTATGGTGAAAATTACTTTGTATTGCATCCTCTCAGGCCTGTCGACCCCCCCCCCACTCTCCCTCGGCCTCTCACAGCTCTCGTTCAGTCAACAGACTGTAAAGAATAAATAATAAAAAAGTATTGATTATTTTGATGACTTCACAATTCAATTAGGTATTAATTTTGCCCTCCACTGGACCTATCAGGCAGCTCAAAGGGGAGAGAAGGGACGGGAGGAGGGATGGATGGATGTTGTGCTTTAAATGAATGCAGTGTTAGAAGCTCCCTCATTCAGCGCCGTTCCGAAATAGAGTGGCACACTGATGCGTCGGTGAGTCACTTGTGCATAAGTGAAAACCTCCAGTGAAGCGATCACAAGAGACATTGCTGCAAAGCATATGAGTATTGACCAAGCGGGCCGCACCGCGAATGACAGCTTAAACTATTCCTATTGATTAACATTTTCCTAGATTATCATGTGCCATATCAAACTCTCATGCACTCCGTCTGATAAGCACATTAACAGAGGCCCCACGGGCTGCCGTTCATTGACCACCCCGAGGAGGAAGAGAAGTGGGGCAGAAACCCTGTGACGGTGCTTGATCCATACGGATCACCTGGCCCCCATCTCAGTCTCATTTGGGCAGAAACGACTCTGTAAATAAGGGAGCATAAAAAGAGAAAAGCAGCTTTTTTGCCCTCCGTATGTCTACACGTTTGTTCGTGTGTCTCACCATCAGAAGGGGTGGGGGAGGTACTTCTGAAGCGCACGAGAGAGAGAGAGAGAGAGTAGAGGTGACATCTCGAGCAAGTCTCCACAGGCAATCCCAGGCTCGCACCAGCAGTGCTCACTTGAGGTATCTGCGTTATCCACACTGGTTTTTGGGCTTTGTGACAAGCATGCACTGACTGATCTCACCTAACACTCTGGCATGCTCTAACTGCTCGTGGATTTTAGCAAAGTTACATTTTTGGAGCATAAAAATTCAGATATTTTTCTCTTTAATCTGGAAGCACCCTTCTGGTAAGTTTCTTGTTGTATAACTTTTTCTTGCTTCTATTTATTTAATTTAATTTATAAAAAAAAAAAAACTCTTATTTGTTCTTATTTATTTATTGAACTAATTTCTTCATTTGTTTTTTTAATTACTTAGTTAATTATTTTATTGTGTTTAAATCATACGGAAAGTGTAAGTAATATTCTTTAGAAGAACTCTAAAATACGTTAAATACTTTAAATAAATACTTTAATACTTTAAATAAAATGCTATAAATAAAACAATCATGCTGATCATTCTTCTGATTCTGTCTCTTATTGTTTAATTTAAAGCAATTTATTTGAAGCATTAATACTAGAGTATATATCTTAGAGAAAGAATCAGCTGCACTTCATTGAGAATGTAATGGCCCACTTCATTCAACTTTAATTTACATATTCTCTCAATATTCACACTGAATGTTCTCATCCAATCAGATTTGATGACCCAAAGAGCAGTTTTATGATTGTTTTAATTAAAGTATTAATGCATGCATATATATATATATATATATATATATATATATATATAATCTTGACAACCAAGGTTGAAAAACCAACATTTTAATTCTCATTTGCATTCTTACTGTTAAATGCAAAAACTTTTGTTAATTAAAACAAAACAATTTTTTTTTGCTTGACAAATGTGACACATTTATATGTAACTTAAGTGTTCTATTTTAATGCTGATGGCTCTTGGTGATACTCATGAAAATTAGTCATTTGACAAGTGGAGCATTTTAACTAAAATCCACAAGAGCTCTTCAGCACTACAACCAGCAGCAACAGCCATCAGAAACGAGAGAGACAGAGAGAGAGCAAGCGCTACCATAGAGAGTGTTAGAAGAGGTGGTGAGTTTCAGAAAGCAGAGAGAGAGAGAGAAAGTGAGGAAATGAGCGGGCATGTGTGCGCATGAGACCCACAGAAAGTGAACCAGTGCGCACCAAAGCTAACATCACTTCTTTTGCCTTTTTCCCCCCCTCATTGTCCTCCCGACCTGGTCCTTCCTCCACTCGCCTCCAGGATCCGATGATCACAGGGCAGCTGAGCAAACCGCTGCTCCCTCTGCGTGCCGATATGGATGTCTGCGAGCTGCGGGATGATGACAAAGCGGCCAGCCCGGACAGCGAGCTCAACGAGGAGCCCTTGCTGCTGTCAACTGACACAGACTCGGAGGAGAAGATGTATGGTGAGTCCAGCATTCATTCACCTCGTTATTGTGCATGACACCCGGGGTCATGCGCGGGGGAACTTAACACCGGAGAGAGTGTGTTTGTTTGTGTTTGCTAGATGCTGTGGTAAAAAAGTGCTGGATCAGAGCAGGTAAAAGTTGTGGTTCACATGTAGGTGGATCTGGGGTCGTGAAGTTGGAGATTGAAGGTATTTGTGCCTCTTACTCTTACTTTAAATGCGGAGTGACCTCAAATTATGGCCCTATGAATGCAATATTTAGATATATATTCCTTAGATTTAAGTTGGGTTTCTATAGAGTTTAAATGTCTGAAAAGTTCTTCTCCAAGTTTACCCTGTGCATTTCAAAATGCATTTTAACTGCTAATCTATCAAATTTCCACTGTGGAAAGCTTGTGGAGGAAGTGTCCTTTTCCTGTGACGCTGGTGGGGTGCAGCCATGTGGTATGTGGGGACTGGGTTTTTTTTTGTTGGTGTTCATAAAGCAGAAAAATGTTACAGAATCTGGGCCAAATAGGCAACAGGAGACATATAATGTACACACACACACACACACACACACACACTCATCTGTCATACAGGGTGACATTTCTTCACATTTGAGATCTCCTCGGCTTAGGCTGAAGATAAAATGAGAGAAAGTGAAGAGGCCTGAGGGAGAGAAATGTGATTGTTGTGGCTCCACGGCCTCATGAGGAGTTCAGATCTAAGCAGACTGAATTGTACATTCTTGATGAGGAGCAGCATATACCCTGAATCTCTTTAAAAGACACTTGATGTTGTAGTAATAATAATAAAACAACACATTCAATATTATTATTATCATTATTTATTTTTATTATTCTTTATTTATTATTCAGATTTCTTCTTATTCTTATTTTTTACTTTTTAAAAGTTGTCCTATGCATTTATATATATATATATATATATATATATATATATGTGTGTGTGTGTGTGTGCGTGTGTGTGTAATTTTATATTAATGCTGATTATTATAAAATTATATTATTGTTGAATATTGTGATTATAATATATTCTAATTATATCATTAATATTCCAGAATGCTATAGATGAAGTTTAATTTTAAAACATTTAAAAATTCTTTTGATCATTAAACAGGCTCTTTAATCATGCTTTATCTTTTCTGAGTACTGAGCATACTTTATCGAATTTTGGCAAATTTAATAAGTACTGGCACAAAATATATTTAAAATCTTAAAATGCTGGATTTAGCATTTAGCATTTAGAATGATTGCTCTGACCTTGTTTAACAGGAAGAGAGCCTAGAAATCCTTAAACTGCTCTGCAGTGATATAGTATGTGAAAAGACAAGTTTCAGACCATTTGGATTCAGCATGCATTGACGGACTGTTTGCTGTGGTTGTCAAATTTGCAACATTAATGATATACTTTAAGACTTGTGTAACTGTGCCGCTGGCTTCTTTCAGACAGAATTTCATTTTTTAAATTTAAATAGAAGTCAGAAACAGCCTGCAATTTTCTCAGCTCAGATTCCTGCTATTGAGTTTATAGACTCCAAACATCACTTTTAAATTTATTTTTCACCTGTATTTTATTTCCTATAGTAACACACACCACATACGATTTTTATAACTTTTTGTTTTTCTAGCATGTCCTTTTCTGCTCTATAATCTTCTACCTTATAAAAGAATCCCCATTTTTCTGTTGTGCTTATATTTCATTTTATGTGCATAATACCGAATTCAGAACAGTTTATTCTTATTAAAGAATTGTCTTTTTATGACAGAACATAGAAACACAAGTGCGAACATGCACATAAAATTACATTAGTAAAAGAGAGTCGTCATGTTCTCAGAGATGCAGTACAATGTTTCAAATAAATTTAAAAGACCACATGCATAAAATGGAGTGAAGAATAACTTATTTATTGAAAATCCAGCCTAATAAAGTAACCTTCTCAGAACACTTAAATGCTTTAGAAGTGTTTGCACTCAGCCTCGAATGTGTTCTGCTGTTATATGCATTCATTCCTGTGGTAATTCATCACATAAATATTTCTAAAGCTTATTATTTCAGTATATACGCAATGAAGTCAGGCAGTCAGGCAGTCAGGCTTGATTCTGTGCTTCAGGTTTGATATTCAGTAGCTGTGACTGCATCTTCCTCTTGTCTGTGTTCATAGTTTGACTGATGCCCGTAGGGAGCTTTTCTATCGCTCTCTATGTTAGAACTAACAGCATTACATTAATGATAAAAGATTTTGATCCCCTGCCACTTACCTGATCATAATAAACTTTTAATGCTATCAGAGGGCCTTCTATACCTACATTAAAATCCAAACAATTAATTTTTAGAAATGTATGAAATATACATGCTTTTATTCACAACATTTTAAAATATCACCTCTGTGTATGATAATACAGAAGTAAATAATTTTCTATTTCGTTACATTATTTCTATTAAAAATAATTTACAGGTGTAAATGTACATTAGACATTAAAAGAACAGAATAAAGAGTATTGCTTGGTGTTTTGAGATGAATTATACATCAAACATCAGCTACCCCCTTATGTGCAGCAAATGCACATAACAAGAGTGTACGTGTGTGTGTGTTTGTGAGAGGCGCATAGTTTAGAACTCGGTAGACTGAATTTTTGGAGAGAATGGATTTGGGAGCGGGACTGCGGGCGGGCGGGCGCAGTGTAGGCTGTCACCACGGTGATGGTGTGTCACCACGGCGGGTCTTTTTGCTGATTTGATTTTGGGTGTTGGCAAGGGGGGCGTTTGTGTCTGATCCCCGTCCGAACCTCTCTGTCAGGCCCTGATCAGTCGTGTGGTTCCCGCTGTCAGTCTGATAAATTTTTTAGAATATCCCAAGGCAAGAAAAGCCCAGTTACTGTTTCATAATGCCAGTGTTACAATTTTCTTTAATAAGCATCAAACCTGCTTTTGTTTGCTTGTTGCTTTTTCTCTTTATGCTCAGCTTTACAGCTCATTGTCTATCTGTCAATCTATTCTTTTTGTAAAATCTCTTTTTTTTTTGCACGCTTACACAAACACATATGCACGCACACACATTTTTGATGTAGGCACATTCTTTTTCAGACCTTTTTTATCGAATCAATACATTTCTCATTTTTTAGAATGTGGTCAGACTGTATTTAACATTATTACAAAAAAGATTGACCTTTTTTTTTAAGGCCACCAAATGGAGCATCCCTGCTCTTTTCTTGCCCTGTGAGAGGTACACCAAGTATGGGCCGTGGGCAGTGCCAGGGGGCTGCTCGGGGCAAGCGGGGCATGGCTGAATCTGTCCTTGGGCACAGTTGCCCATCAGAGAGATGTCTGAAATGTCATTGAACTTTGGTTACAGAAAGAATTGAGAATGAAAGATGTGAAATAACAGGAAAAAGAAGTGCAGATTATGATATTATGTTTTTCTTTTTATTTGAACTTTGTTGCACTTATTTTCACGTATTGTTAATGTTTTTTTCTTTGTTCTTGTTAAATGTTTCTTAAATTTCGTCATCATATATGTTTGTGTGTGTGCATATTTTTTTTAAAGATTTATCTTTTAAAAAATATTTCATTATATTGAAAGCAAAGACACAACTTAAATAATTAAAATAATAAAAAATACATTAAAATATTTAATTATTTAATTACATTAATTAGAATTAAATAATTCTTTGTTAAACATGTAACACTTTTTGATATATATATATATATATATATATATATATATATAAAATAAATAAGAAACAATATTTGAAATAATTAAAATCATTAAAAAGTACATTAAAATAAAACAGTTAATTAGAATCAATTTGAACCATAATGTGTGTTTTAAGTTAAAAATGCACTAAACTTAATGCATTTACTTGGTCCATTTAGCATTTGGGTTAGGGTTATGCAGTAAAGCTTGGTGCATTTACATTATCTGCGTCTATATTCTAAATGCTTACAATCTCAATTTAAAGCTTCATATTGAACATTCAAGAGGCAGTATTTTTCTTATCACCTCCGTAAGAGGATTTATACTGAAGTGATTTCTTTTCTACGGCTAGACATTGTTTGATTAAATCATCTTCTGCTGCCCTCAAAGGAGGTTCTGTTCGTTTAAAGGTCACAGAAGTGCAATACATATGTCTACCGACTCAATTGATTCTCGACAAATTGATCCGCGGCATTGAGTGAGCTTTTGCCTCCCCTGTTTGAAAAGATCTGACCAACAGAATGGGGAAATTAAAAGACTTCTTTTCATCTCTTTCCTAGGCTGATTTTCAACACCGATTGAGTGTAGGTGATGATAACAAGAACGTCGCCTAAATGTTTTTCATCAAAGAATCACTTGTGCATGTATGGACAAATGTGCAGTCTAATTTTTGCACAAACGCAAAAGACCGGCCTTGACTTTTGCTTTCAAAAGTTGAAGGGGGTGGGGGTCTATTCTACAGGAGTATGAAGGGCCGCAGAGAGAGAAGATGGAGAATATGATGGGCCTCTCTTTGTGCGATGTGGATAGAACATTCTGTGGATTTTGTCAATCTTTAGGGAAAG